TCCGCATTTTCGGCCTTTTTTTCTCCTCTTTTTTCTCCTCCACATGTTGTCCTACTTAATTTTCCTTTCTTTTCCAATTCTACTATTTTTGACATTTTCACCTGTTTCATCTATTTTAATGTTTTCACTTTATTTCTTCTTGTGTTATTTTAACTGTCCTTCTCCATATTTTTTTGCTGCTAGTGAGTAGTGAATCGACTGAGACCTCACGAATCATGAGAGAGAAACTCCGACCTCAAATCATTCGTGCAACTTCTTTAACAGTGTTGTATATTGCAAGAATTCCACGCTATAAATTATGGTTGACCTGTTTATTTTAATGATACATTTAACAATTTATAAACCTAAAAATAAATGCACGTTACTGTAAAAGATCAACTTACCTTTCATAAATATCCATGAGTGACATAAACATCTTCCATGCATTTATTATTTATGCCATTTCGATGGGAACTTCGGATTAAATGGGCCTGTTTTGACTAAAAACATGATATTATTGATGATTTAAAATATTCATAGGCTATTATGTTTGCTTTCCTTTCGAGGTGTACTAAAAAATCTATGATTTATAAAATGTTAATTACTTATTGATTAAGAATCCATTTTCTCGAGAATTTTTGACAAGAGGCGCCTAGATTTGCTGGGGCTTTCCACCAATCACAGCGCAGACACCGCGACAACCTGGGTGAAGGAACGATTTCAACGATTCAACCACGATTCAACGAATCAGTTGGAAAAGTAATCGGACTACCGGTTCAAACAACAGTTGGGGCCCCTCCGGATGCCATCACTAATATATACTCTTTGAGACGACTGGTCTGGATCACGAGGTGCGAGGCACATGCGCGTGGTGTGCTTGCACTGCTTGAGGCGAGACGCTGAGAACTGCTAAGGAACTGTCTAGTTCGCTCCATATAGAACCCATTCGTGCATATTACTATTTTTGTTGCACTCTTTGATCCAAGGTGATCTGATCTTATCTGTTGTTAAAGTCTCCAAGTGTTTTAGAATACGAACGAGGAATAGGACAACGACAATTTTATTGAGATAATCCAATTAACAATTATAATCGGATTGTTGCAGAGAAATCCAAAACTTTGTTTTGTGAGAATATGAAGATCACGTGCAGTATTTGCCGAACTTTATTTGTGGCGACAGATGTCGTGTTTAGAACAAAATGTGGCCATTTGTTTCACTTTAGGTGCTTGAAATTGTGGTTGAAGGGGTAAGTAGGTGTTCAATTGTATATAATAATATATCTTCATACCTAATTACCTGATTTGAAATTCTGTGCCACCTTCCCATGTTTAGGTCGAAGTCATGCCCACAATGTCGAGCAAAATTGAACGAAAAACAAGTAAGCCGAATTAATTTCAGTTTGGACCTACGCAATGCACATAGGCCTAAAGAGGTCACCCAAGTTCTGAACAATAAAGTTCACAACTTAAAACGTAATATGTCGTTAAAGAATAGAGAGTTACAAGAATGCAATGAAGAAATAAAAAAACTCAGGATGAAGGAAACCAAAATGAGGTAAGTGTAATTCAAAATTTGTAATTGGGCCTATATTACATTTTATTCCCACGGGTTCCTTACTAACATATTGTGAATAATAGCAGAATACTCCCTTTCAATTCTCCACAATTTTTAAATCATTAAAGGTTTCCAGCAGAGACTTGTATGGACAGCACTCAGACCTGTATCTTTGGAATATATATTTTTAGGGCACCAAAAAACTTTGAATCAAATAAGAATTGGATTAATCTAAAACATTTGAAGGGTTTGGGTAACCTATGTGAAAGCTTGGTAACCTATGTGAAAGCATTTGCAGAATATAAGACAAGAGAGAATTTTTGCTAAATGTGGTACATAAAGAAAATGAGCCATTGGGCAATAAACTGAACTACCAGAGAATCACAGCGCGTGAGCAACAGATGGAAGCGTACGGAAATGTTAATATTACAAAAACTATAACATTGTGAGTAGCCATCTTTTACTCCATTTAAAATGAGCTAATCATATTAAATTCATTGGGCAGTGAAGACCAGGCTTTTCCTTGATCACTGTGTTTTGCCGCATCAATTTTCTTATTCTCAACGAGCTTGTGGATGAAGAATTTCCTTCTCTTCTGTCGAGAAATTTGCAGTTTCTCTTCTCTTTGCCATAGTCAATTAATTATACAGCAGGACACAACAGAACACTGTATCACAATCGCCACAATTGAACGATGGGGAATGTGTGAAGTTCATGTTTCTTTATTCTCTGTAAGCAGGATGCGTAACTGGATAGGTGAGGTGGCTGGGCTGAATGCCAATTCAGTGCCTCGGTCTGAAGGGTCGCAGGTTCAAGTCCCACCACAGGCATGGTTGTTTGTGCCTTGTCTTTTATGTACGTGGAAGGCCATGATTTGCTCACCACTGACCGAGGAGCCTGCAAGTGTATCAGAATTTAGTGTAAAGGTTGATATGTGTTCTTATGATGGGCGTGGTGGATAATTGTCATCCCCTGGAGCTCAAAAGGCCCAGGAAGAGAAGAAGCTGCGTAAACATATTCATCACAGAGTTTCCAGTTCACGGTTTTATGAAAGCAAATATTCCTGGATTTTGTGCACCTAAGATAGTTGACATGCGATTAACCAACCGAAGTTGGGAAGTGTTAGTGAAGTAAATCTCCACGGGATGTTAATTTTAAAGACCCTTTAATGTTATGCATATGTTGGTGAAACCAGACAGTCTTAGTCTCAAGTTGCTTGAAGTAAATCTGACCAAAGGCATAGTTCATGATGTAAACTTGGAACTAAAGCATGTCAACTTAGGCAATGAAGTATTGTGTCATAAAAATGGGGTTTGAATTTTGTAATTTCCTGAATCAAAAGCCATTGGGCTATTGGAAAAATTTTCTGAAAAATGATTCCAAGTTTGTTCTTTAAATTTCGAGCCGCAATAGAGTGATATATGCTTATAAAGGTGGTGTAGATTGTTTTCACAAATGCTTGTGAATGTTTGAAAATTGCAAAAATCAGTTTTTTGTAATTTGTAAGTTTATGTGCTTCTAATGATTTGAAAAGATTTTCCTCAAAAACTCAACAATTTTCTGTGAAGATAGCAAAGAAAAAATAAATAAATAAATAAATAAATAAAAAAGAAATCACTTTTTCAAAAAGGCTCAAACATCAGTTCTCACATTTTCAATAAAAACTATGCATATAAAATCAAGATTCATTCTTTGATATTCTCAATTTATAATTATACTGATTATGATTGTCACTGCAGTATTAACTTTTTTACAGATAGTGTCATTTGATTTATAAAGGCAAATACCCAATTACTCAACTTCCTTAATAAAAAATATTATAGGCTTCTGTGAGTGTAGAAAACAAAGGTAATATGTAGGTATTTTTCCAGAGTGGCATAATTGTGTGTTGAACTACCAAAGTGCATGATATTGTAGTTGGTGGATATCCGACTCACTACATGGAAATATTTGTTCCATGCATCTTGGAATTTGTGCAGAATGTCTCTGTTATTTTATTCAGATTTTTAAAGATCAGTAGTAATCAGTTTTTGTTTTTTTAAGGGATGAAAGAGACTTCTGGAAAGCTGAAGTTAGTTGTAAAAGATCAAATAACAAGATTTTAAGAGAAGAGTTTGAAATTATGAGAAAGAGAAATAATTTTTTAGAATCTTGTCGTACCGAACGTGAACGCTTACAGAAAGAAGTCAGATTCTTGGAAAAGTAAGTACAAAATCTTAAAAGAGGTGAGTTTTTTGGGTACTTGAAGAGTAAAGTCCTGTATGATTGTGGCTAAATACTTTTGTTCAGTGTTGAAGAGAATTAATCTTCCCAAGATGATATGTAGTGAATCAGGGAAGTCTAGTTTGTTAGAAGTGTATTTTATTGATTTAAATTTATTCATGATAGTATCGATTCTCAGATGTTTACAAAATAATTGAACACTTAATAAGAAAGTGTGATGAGATCAATTTTCCCCATTGGCTTTTCTGTTTATACAATTTCTAAAGTGACAATCTTATGAAACCATGTAGAATTATGCATTACATCTTTAAATAACTTTTCTTCTTCATTTCATCTTGACAACATGATATAAAAGAAAACATGTTATTACTGTAATAAATCCCTATGTACTTGGTATAGCCCCTTGTGAATCAAGTTCACCCTTCGTCCACTGCAATTTGGTGATTGCCAGTTGCCCAAAAATTCACTGTTTGTCTAGAATTACAACTTCAGTATTTGTGTTTTTTAGTAAAGTTGCAGAAAGGCAGATAGATTTCAATATTTATTTGGTGTTGTATCAGTATTTTAGTAGTTTCTGTGATTCTTCAATTGTGCATGCATTATTGTTATATTTCTAAGTTTTTATTAAATATTGTGTGGCCTTCTGGATTTATGATGAGAGCTGATAGTTCTTGTTTTCATGGCTGTAATATAATCACATGGAAACGCCCTATTTTTTAGTCTCAGCCTGCAAATCTAGCTGCATGATACGCCAATGGAGAAATATTTTCCATCCACCCAAAAACTAAGAAAACATTTCTGAAAACCCAAGCAAAAAGCAGAGGAGCAAATATATAATTCAAGAAGTGAAAGAAAAATGTAAATTTTTTTGTGATGCAGAAATTTTACGATGGTGATATTAAATATAATAACATTGTTATTGTTCAAAATAATGTGAAAATTTAGAGCAAGATGTGGATATTGAGATTGAAATCAGTGCCACAAGTTTTTTCCAAATTTTCTTACATATCCGAGAATGAATGTGTAACACAGAAAATTACTTGTTGGAATGAAATCAAAATATCTTCTAATGTTAAAACAAAACATAAATTTTCTTATAGTAATGTACCAGTAGGAACTCAATACCATACAGAATGAGTTGCAATTCTAAACTTTTAAAAATCCAAACTCTTCAAATAATCAAGAGCAAAAGAAACATTACAGACTAAAATTCACAGTTTGAAACAGAAATTTGTAGAACAGCGTACAGTCTTGCCTTTTCAAACTTCACTTGCTACAAAACAGAAAATTATAGTGTTATTTCACTAGATTAATGACAAAGTAAGAAGCATTATGGAATGTGTTAACTTCTAAGTTTGTGAATACAATTTATATATTTGGTCATTCATACAATCTTGTAAAATTAAGTGAAAATTCTGAGCTTTTCTAAATTTATCTATTGAGCAGTGTCATGGTATGAGGGGAGACAAGGAAAAGATTTATACATAGAATGTACTAATATAAATATTTCAGTAGAAGATATTCTTCTTCAATTTAGTCTTGTTATGAGAGAGGAAGCCTGCATGATGGGTCAGCGTCCTGCCAGCTACAACATGAGAAATTTAAGTAACAATTATTTGGGTCCTATTCAGAAAGTCTTTTTTGGCTGCATATTTTCAAGCCATAAGTAATAAAAGATTCTAGGTTGCTCAAATTTAACATTACAATTGCAGGGGCACTGGAAAATGTTATTGATGAATAAATTTCAAAAATTTGTGATTCCTCATAATTTTTTATTAGTTCAGCACTAAAATCCTAATTTATGAGAACTATAAAAAGTTTTAAGTTACCTTTTACTGATTACGATGAAATACATTTGAATACAGCAAATTTTATCATTAGCAAGTTAAGCACTGTACCCTCCTATTTTGTCTCATGTTTTCTTCTTTTTGATTTCATGTGGGATTCAGTATGGAGATCGTCCGAACAGGGAGTTTAGAGAAAGTTGATGAAATTCTCAAAGATTATAGAGTCTCCACTAAAGCTAATGATTTAGTATCAAATACATCTTTTTTAAAGCAGTGAGTACAAGAGAAAGAAATGCTAAAATAATTAATTACTAAGCTCTTTACATACTATATTATTATTATTATTATTATTATTATTATTATTATTAATTCATTAATTAATGATTGTAGCAACAAGCTGTTGTACACAAATCTTGCAATAAAATAACTAGTTATTACAATAATTCAGTTTGGTAGAGTAACAATTTCATGAATTATATCATAAATATGGATCACAGTTTATAGGTGTACGTTTGCATACACACATGTGTATTATTATTATTATTATTATTATTATTATTACTGTTATTATTATTTATTTTATTTAACATTTTTGTAAAAGATCTGAATTTAATTTACAGAGAAATGCTACGCTCAGTTGCCGAGAAGGAGGGACTTATTAATAAACTCCATGAAGCAGAATCTAATGTTGTGTCTTTGACTGAGCAGGTAAAAAAAACAATCCCCTGTATATTTATAGTCAGAGAGATTGATCAGGTAATCTTAATATTAGTGAAAATCTGGTTTTAGCACTCATGCTGACAGATTTGTGAAAAAACCTATTGCTTAGTACACTCAAAATATGAATTGTCTACACAGCGTATTCGAGAAAGACATTAGCAGACTTGGCAAAGAAAATCTTTTGGTTACTGAGACCTTCAAAATGAGATTTTGTGCCAAAAATACACTTTTTCTCCTGCATCATTACAATATTTTCCTTATACTATGAATTTGAAAAAGTAAAGAGATTATAAATTAATTTTTTCAGAAGAATGTTGCATCTGATGAGAGGGTTACCGAATTGATCTTTCAAATTATGTATGTTCTTTGGCTCTTGGCTACCAAGTTGAATTTTTTTGTATCTCACAAAGTTCAATGTAATTTTTGCCTTTTAAGGTTCAAAGTCTGGAGGAAAAACTTAAAACTAGGAATGAACAAAATCACAATTTGCTTATGGAAATAAATCATGCAACTGAAGAACAATACAGTATTAAAAAGAAAATTCATGCTTTGCAAAGGGCTCTGCTGTTACCCACCTTCGAGTAACGTAAGTATTTATTACAAATAAAGTACCAATCTGGCTACTTCCCAAATTAGTCAGTTTTTGTTCACGTTATCTAAAATGGGTGGATGAAGTGTGAAGTAGGAATAGATTGAATCTTACTTGTATAAAGTATAAAGTTATTAGCTAATAGAAGATGGCTAGGGTAGGTGAAGTCTATTACAGTGGCAAGAAAAAGCAGATAATATGTGATTAAAAGGCATCAGCGTTCTGGTTTTGAAGGCTAGTGAGAAACAAAGTATAGTTTTGAGTTCCCCTGTGTCACTCATGCATTTTTATTAATGCAATATCATAATCTCTCTGCATACTGCTTCACAATGCATTTTTGTGTTGGTGACTAGTCTCCATCATTCAACTTTCCTAAGTAGTTAAAACAACCTTGAGTCTGTGCAATGCATAATTTATGTATTTACTTATTCATTACTATCAGCAGCTGGAGATGATAAACTTTCAAATCAAGCTAACATTTCGATAAGAATATCACGTAACCAATTAAAACCACCTGCAAGTAAATCAATCCACATCTACTGACTTAAATAATAGTTCCAAGTTCATGGGGTCTTAATGCGGTTCAAAATACAAGACAATTGTTTGATAGGAAAACATTCTTATGATAATTGTTCGTACATGTCCTTAAAGCAAAATAAGCTGTGCAGATGTTTGTAATTTACATACACCCTATTTCCCTAGGTATCAAAAACATGTAAATGTCATTGCGGAATACATGTTTTGATGTGATAAAAAGCTGCACATTTTAAACATTTATGTGCGCATTTCAACATTTTTTGGGCATTATTGCATATATAAGTATTTCATTAAGCTTGCATAAACATCCCAGCTCTAATTATAGGCATTGTCTTTGCCAACAATGTTATTTATTGAAAGTGGCTCTCAATGGCTTAGCTATCATAATTAGTTTCCTGCTGTTTGGATCCTACAAAATAGAAAATTATATTGTTGGCCACGACAAGGCCTATCATTATTTAATTTTAAATGCCAATGACAAATCATTGTTAAACCAATATTCCCAGCTCTGGTTATTATGCATTTGCAAATATGATTCGCAAGTATTTTGGTGTAAACAGGACTACTGCTGCATGTAAATATATGAATAAATAAAGTAATGAATAACTAGTTCAACCAAGTTGATGCAATTATCTCGGTCTAAAGGAAAAACTGTAGGAAATTTAAAGGGAAGAAGGTATGCCCTGTTTGGAAATTCGAAAATTCTAAAATCATTCTTCATATGGTTCACTGTTTTTCTCCAAGAGAAATTAGACAAGGGAGGTTACATATTTCTGAATATGTAATGGAAATGTTTTATATTTACCAAGATTGTACATGTATGTTCATGAATGATTCAAAGGCCTACAGCAGGATATGTTTGTATCCATGTTAACTTAAAACTTACTGCATCACCTATATAATTACTGGACTTTTTTTTTTGTTAAAAGACACTTGTGTCAAGTGATTGCTGGATATCAAGTTTATTTGTTCTTACTTACCTTCCAAATAAAAAAACAAATCACAATCTTTGCTTTGCAAACTAAACACTCTTGCTGTTGTGACAGAACCCAAACCAACTAATCACGTGGTTGGGCATGACAAAATAACCACTTTTGATATGTAGATTGCATCTTTCACAACCAAATGAATTAACAAATGATGGCAGATAAGCATTCATTCTTATAATTTTAAGGTATAATCAAAGTTTAGTGTTTGTGTTATAAAAGCATATAATAAGAGCAAATGATAACGCATCTAGGACAAACTAGATTTCATTTTGAGAAAAAAAATAGGAAATTTGATTGAGTAGAAAGTTCAAATTTCTAAACGAAAACTCTTTAAGTATTGTAATTATATAGATACAACTTGTGTAGTTTAGTCAGTATTGCCAGCATTTTTAACTATAAAGGCTTACCTATTTCAAAGTAGTTCATTTGATTTATGCATATATGTCATGAATATTTCAGACAGATTGTGTATATACATGAAGTTCAATATCTGCACTTTCTAATCTAACTTGATCCCTACTACATGCATTTACTCGTTCTCAGTTCTGTTCCAATCATCGTTTGCCCTTCAAGCATGAGGAGTTGTTGCATGGCTTCCAGACACTGGGTTGGATTTCAATGCAATGAATGGAAAATGCTATTGAGCAAAATTCATTATTCGTCTATAAAATAATAATTCCACTATTGTATTGTCACAAAACATTTTGAAAATAATATACAGATATTTCTTAATTCTATTTTTAAAATGTGTTTCTCTGTTGCAGAAACAAGCCTGTAAGGGATGACAGTGGCAATTGCCAACAAAACTAAAGTGCCCTAAATCAGAAGTAAATAAATCTGCTGTTTTAAGTGAAATATTTGAAGAGTTGTAGTGTTAGTTACCAGATTTAGATGATCTCAGCATTTGACACCATTACATTACTGTGATGTAACCATACGAAATGTCACCTTATTTCTAAAGTGGAGTGTTGACAAAGTTGTTGAGGTGAGGGTTCAATGTAAGAAAGATAAATACTACTTTTTACATTGGTATCTATTTATGTAATTTCAAATTTCTTTTAATACATAGTTTGTCTGAATTTTAAAAATTATTCCCAATGTTAAAATTTGCATATTAGGAACGTGTTGAACCTGAAAAAAATGCTGTCTCCTGAGTTTTGTAAGAAATTTCATTGACCATCCTGTAAAAGGTTACTTCTCCATTATCTTCCATGATGCAAGTTGTTTGGGTTTTGAGTAGCTTATCAATAAATGTTTTTCTACCTATTTACTCTATTATGCTTTGTTTTCCAATATTTGTTTCATTAACTTTACACACAATTGAAAGCCAATCTCCAAGTATGTTCAAAAGGACTTTCTCAGCTGAGAATGAGAACTAAATGTGAATGCAATAATATATTTTGTTCATGGAATAAATGTTAAATTATATTTGACTTAGGGTGCTGAAAGCTCTTGATGCATTGTCATTCTAAAAAGCTTTGTGAGGTGGTGAGTAATGAATTTATTTTTTATATACATTCACATTTTCATTAACCTGTTTTTGCCCAGGTATTTTTGTAACAGAATTTTAAAATAAGAGGGTTTTTTCACATGAAGCATCTAAGACATTATCAAAAAACAAAAAAAAGAAAATAAAAAAAAAAACAGCATCATTTTAGAAGAAGTTTTGTTGTTGGATAGTCTGTAGTATGTAATACATTAAAGAAAATGGTGCAGGTCTCATATTGGTCGAATTCCCTGATTTTTCGAAAACTGCAAAAAGGATATAGCTGAATTAGGGGGAGAAACGTGCCTCGAAACCATATCAAATGTGAATGTCTAATCATCTGGACACTGTGATTTTAATGTGGGTGCAGTCAAAATTACCTGTTACTCTAGGAAAAGCTGCTTTCTCGTAAAACCCTTGTCGCGCACAATTGCTGTCCAGTGCAATTTTGGGAAAGTAGATAAATGTTAGGGCTAATTTGGCTAGAACGTATCTATTTTTTTATTTATCCTGGGCTACTTTTATCCAGCCCCCGAAAATCTCCAATGCAATTAAAAATGATCAAACTCAATGTTAGTAGGGGCTGGATTAGAGGCGGTACCGACTGATTCCTGTCAGACTAGCATAACCTTTACGTAATATTTTTAATTTGCACCAAGCTGAACATTTTCAATTTGTAGGTTCCAAATATAATAAATAATACAACATATTTGATACAAAAACTAATATTTTATGTTTGAATTGTGTTCAATGTCATTTAAAAGCGTTTATAAGCAGCAAGTTTGCTTAATTAATCTAAATCTTGCAGAAAAGTAATAATCGTCATATTCAATCAGCAAATCTGACTTTCTCTTCGCTCTACTCAGCTTTTTAAATACATCTGGAGTATTTCTTGTTCTTGACTCATGTCAGAAAACAAATACTCCAGAATTTCGTAAACTTGAGTCAATGTGTGCTACAGATTTTCCTATTACTCTGCTGGCAATATGCTGTGTAATGGTTAACACGCTGGTAACCACCCGTTAACTATGTGCGAAATCACAAATAAATTTACACCTTGTTATCCCTCAGTTAACCCGTATCCTGAGTTCATACAACAAATTTAAGTTCTAACAGTGTGATAAAATGTATTCCATGTTTGTACAACTGGCCAGTTGTATAATGGCAATAACTTTAATTTCACAAAAAATGTAGTATACCCTCTTGTTCTACAGAGCCCTTAAATTGCAAAGAAATTAACATGGCAAGAGCTCAATATGGAGGATAGATTTTCTTATATAAAATCTGTTCTAAAAATTAGATCTGTAAAATAGCTCAAGTATTTTTCTTAAAAAGCTAGTACTTTCCGTGTAACATCTGCCTGAAGTTTGGCATTGTAGAAGAAAACAAAATGTTTTCTCAGTGTGTTGTACGGGCAGCACCCGTGCAGTGAGGATCACAATCTTGTCATTGCCACATGTACTGAATGGGCAGCATGCCACAATCTGCTTTTGATAACATTATCGTTTAAATAACATTACAGTTCTCTGAAACAGCCTAAACTATCGAGGGGAGGTGCCTGTCACTTGCAAACACCCCGAGAAGGTTATTCCGAAGAGTCCTTGTGCAGAGTAACCACCTCTTCCGGGAGAAGAACCAACTACTCCTGGAGGAGACGTGTCTACAGCCGCTGCCGCCCTCAGATCTGGAGTAGTCGGACGGCAAGATGGCTGATGCATGCCAGCGATGAGGTATCCAAACCAAGAGCAGGCGCGCACCGCAAGCTCTCTTGACTCCTCCCCTGACTCCACGCTCGACGAACCCACCAAAATTTTCCTGTCGGATGACAACTTTTGATTGGTAACGAAAGGAGCCAAACCCCAACTTCCACACCAAACTAAACCTGTTGAGTCCCATAATCCCTTCAACTCTCTCCCAATTGGACTCCCCAGCAATCAGACTCTAAAACCTCTGAAGACCTAGATACCACCAACAAACCATCAGCTGACCAATCATCCTTCCAACAAACGACGGTCTTAAAACCAACCTACAAAGGACTAATGGGACTATTCAGGATCGACTTGATGACAATCCTTGACCAACAGAACTGATCAAGGAATTGAAGACAAACTGTAACAACTACTTGACAGCCGAATGCACTCGCTCACCTCCACAACTCTGCAATAGCGCAAATCCAAAAATATATCAACCTCCTATTCCGAAACCTAATCCTTCCTCACCACCACATCCTCAGAAACCCACCTTGACCCACACAGAAAAACCATCCCTCAGACATCCTCCAACTTCCCCCTCCTATTACCTAGGCCGGAGGGCAAAGGCAAACAAACAACTAACAATCTGACAACAAATTGTTAAAATGACTGCCACCTTTCTCAACTTCTTTTGTTCACCTCTTCCCTCTCATCCCACCCAATCCCCTCCCATCCCACGATTCAAAGAGACCCCAAAAGGGGTCAAGCAAATGTAATTGAAAACCTTACAACACATTGCAGTGTATTGCCCTTCACATGCTTCTGATAGTTTATATGTCTAACAATCATGTTGTACGCTACACACTGCAAACCTAATAAAGGAGAGACTTTCCCTCGAGAATGGGTTTGGACACGGTTGTCAAGTATTCTATTAAAATATTTTCCCTCAATATTGGGCATGCTTTCTCAATGACACTGTCTTGGAGAACTTTGATTTACTTGTGCCAAATATTGTTCAAGGAATATCGGGTGTTAAAATTCCAGCCGGCACAATAGCGGGGACAAAATATGCAACCAACGGGTGCTTAGTACTCGGCGGTGTGCAATCAGCGGGTGCCTAGCGCTTGTGTGCAGGGGGCTTGAGTAGACTGACCTAATCGTCATCAATCATAAACTCCAGTCATCATCAAGGCCCTGGATATTTCGGTGAAGGTCAAGTAATTTTTACCTATGTGTATGTGTGTGTGTGTATGCAGGATGGGCCATAAGTCACTTGACAAAAATGCTTCTTTACAAACATTAGTTTTGACATATGTATAACAATGCTCGAAACATATTAACATTATTATTACAAATGGTTTTCAAAGTGTTCTCTATTTTCAATCCACAATACATATCTTTGAAGATAATATTAGATATCCTGTATCAATCTTGCTGCACTCAAGGTCCTGAGAATATTTTATGAAAATGAAACCTGTACAATTTTTATAAGTGTACATTTCATTACACAAGAAAGAAAGAAACAAGTTTGAACCATTTTTGAGAATATTTTGAAAATGTTAAAGGGTCTTTGTATAAACCATCTCCCAAATCCAAATACCTATTTCAAACTCGACTTCTGCTACATCAGCCAGATCAATTGCTTAATCAATTGTATTATTAATGCATCTTGGGGAAAACCCTCTTCGCAATTTAGCTACTAGCATTATTGACAGACAACCAAACCTTTTGATAATAAAGTAATTAAATCAAAAGGCACAGGTACCCTATTAAATTGATACCACTAATTTGGTATGACCTACAACTTGGCATGTGATCAGTGGTGCCCTTATAGACTTTTGATGCACCTCTAGGTGTGTATTGGCAGTAACAGTTTTGTTCCCATCCATTTTCTGAACGTCATGTCTTTGTTCTTCTTTCTGTTAAATACATGTTTTGGTTTTCTACAAAGTGGTGCATTTTTATTCTGACTCAAATCCCTACTTTCAGTTTATCCAGGTGTATTTTCATGAAAATATGGGCCTCTTACATTCATAATTTCAATTAAATTAATACCTTTAGGATATTTTGTTCTTTCTTAGCAATTTTTAACTAAATGAGTTCTTCCTTAAAAGTCATTCACAAGATTTTGACTATTCTAATTCTATTTTCTAGGTTTATAATTTCATTTTAATAGTTTTTCTTAGTGATGTTATCTTTTTAATTTAACATAATTTAATTGTTTGCAAGAGTTTCCTTATTTATTTTGCTATTACTACTTTTGAAACGTAAGATTTAAAGTTAATTGAACTACATATTAGCCTTCAAATATAAAAATTAGGTTGATTTGGGTCCTGGGCAGCAGTAACCTTACACTTGCAGAAATGCAATCTCAAATCATTACATAGTATATAGACATGATAATCAGACATTTTCTCATAAAAAGATTTACAACACATTGTCCAATTATTCATTTATATACATCTCCTATTTCATCACAATAATGATTTTCCAACCACAATGGCTATTGATCTTTGACATCATCTTTGGTGTTTAATTTGGAATAGCAGATACATCTTCCAAGAATTTGAATATGATCAGAATTAGGGAGCCAGGCTATTTAATTGTAGATTTTCAAACAAAAGTTTTCGTTACCACATATGTATTTATTATAATGATTTCAGTTCAACCAATTTTGATTAGAGGCTTTGGAAATCTATTCGTAACGTTAATATTTGGAGTACTTGGTTCAGCATTTCCACAATTAACATTAGATTTTGACTTTTATCATTATCATTAACCCTACAATTAACCAGAAGAATGGTTTGCAATTGGAGCAGGTATCAGATGATTACAATATCCTATCCTCATGTAATGCCAGGAATCACACAGTCTGGAACATCAGTTGGTGTAGGTATATTTTCACTGCAGTTAGCAGGTGTTTTTTCTATTTTAGGAGTTGTAAATTGTATTATAATTATAATTAACTTACTTGGGTCAGAAATACCATTAGATGAACTTTGCTTACTTGCATGAGCCATAATATTAATGTATTTTTTTTGCTACTATAATTTCTTGTTCTGGTAGGAAACATTTTAATATTGTTTGAAATCAAACTTTAAATTACTTTTTTGTATCCACCAGGAGGTTATCCAGAAATCTATGATTTAATTCTCTGATGATTTGGTATAAGTTCTCATAATAGTATTAGTCAAGAAAGAGAAAGAAAAGCAGAAGCATTTGAAACTGTGGGAAACATAATGCAATATTAGAAATGAGATTATTCAGATTTTTAATTTGAGACCTCCACATGTTAATTGTTGATACACAAACAATTTTACATTAGCTACAGTAATTATTGTTGTTTCAAGAGGACTTAAAATCATGTAATTAGCTAATAAAACATACAAATCATTGCTCAAGAGTTATATCTCCACTAAAGTAGAAATGGAGAAAATAAGGTTAAAAAGTTTTGCGGCTGTAAAAACACATCAGCAGTTAATTTAGTAGGGAAAAAAAGACTTGGAACAAATTCAGAGGTCTAATTACTATACATTAAATACTTTGTAAAAATATATACCTACTTGTACATGTCGAAATATTTCTAATAAATGATTTGAGAGATCCTATGGCAAAATAACTCATAAATTTGTTTTATTTTAGGAGGATCTATCTCTAAAAGAAGGTATTTTATTAACGGTTTTAGTAACAGATTTTTGTTAAAAAAATCACATTAACAATTGGCATGTGTGAAACAATTGGTCTTTCATTTGTGAATTGTGAATGTTTACAAGAATTGGACAAGAAGAAATACTAGGAATATTTAACAAAATTTGTCTATGACCTTTAAACATTACACTTGCGCTGGTTCTTTTTTCTTTTCAAATTTTTACTGCAGTAAATTCACTATTGAAATCTAAACTGTGTTTAATTGTGTTTAGAATTTCCTAGCTATAAAGTAGATGTTTATCTTTTATTAATGGCACTGGAATGAAATTCATGCCTTTGGATACCAATTGCTAATGTATTCAGAAATTCTTTCATCTGCATTTCAAGAACTTGCACGTAAAACTTTTCAGAACGGCTTAAATATAGCGTAACAGGAAAGTCTCTCCGCAGTGGCAGCTTGCTGTGTGCAACAGACACTATATTATAGTACAAGCTGCAGCTTGAAGACGTAGTTGTGTACTCACCACAATCATAACAGATGCTAGAAGTGCTGTTCCCTTCACTTGCTTTCCAGTAATCTGGTTGCTACCCACAATGTGGTTTTCAAAAGGAGGCCCTGATTCGGATCACTGCTGAGTGTCTTCCCTGGCGCTCTGTATTTCTTATTAGCGGCTCTGGACTGCAGGCTGTTGCACTGCATTGGAGGCACTGCGTTAAAAATACAGTTTGTAATTGTTGTTTTTTCATTGGAGTAAGCATAACACTATTTTCTGGATTTTTGCTTGAAGTAATTGGAATACCACAAAAATATTCCAACCATTAGACACTTTTTTGTATTTCATGAATGTTTTGTCATCATTCATATTCCTCCATCTCGTAGTTGGGACCATTACACACATCTTCATTATATGCAAAATAATGATCTCTATCAACACATTGAAACTGATAGCTGACTGAATTCAGAAATTCTTTTGTCTGCATTTCAAGAATTACCATGTAAACCTTATCGGTCTGAATGGCTTAAATATTTCAATTAGAGATACTGAACTGCATGTTTCAGTAAGTTTTAGCCTATATTCAGTGACATGTACAGAATCAACTATTGCACGAGACTGGAGAGTTTCTGAGAACTTTAGTTCAACACTGAATATATTCTTATTATTGTTTGAAAATTGAGTACTGCCTTTGACGTTTTTTATTTTGTGGGACAAATGAAGCTGACCAAAGAATAATTTCATAAATTGAGACTATTTGTACAAATGTTTTTGAGAACCTTTATTAAAGCACTGGTAATATTATTCTCTCATCTCTAAGAGACAGAGCAGTAAGGTTTTCTGAAAAGGAATATGCTGTTAAATTACTACAATTAAGTTATCTATAATAGAAAGAAATGCATACATACATTTTGGGAGTGCAAATAAATTTGGTAAATCATAGCACTTCAGTACCATGACTTAATCTCTCTGAAATACCTCCTTTCTCCGCTAGTTGATGAAAGGAGCATAGCGAAATTTGCGTGGTCAGATGGAAGAGGGGGCTTGACCCGAGTCTCGCCACGTAAAATAAGGAAAATTCAATTCAATCTCCTACATGGAATTCTTCTTTATCTCTGTATCTCTCACCTTTACCTTACATTTTTCTCAACTAATCATTATATTTTATTTTATAATTTGGATTTACTGTACATTTAAAAGCCTTACAGTCATCACAGTTTTAAGAAATTTAAAGAAAATAAAATTAAATTCAGGAGTAAATATATTTTTGTAAATGTATTCTTTTACAGGAGTTTCTGAATACACTTTACACAATGAATACATATATGATAAAGCATGTCACACCCAACAGCTCAAGGAAACATGCTCTGCACTGATCAATCACTAGCTGTGTTGTGTGCGAGGCGCACGTTACTGCTATCATTTTGGCGATAGTCCGCCAAATTGAGGGAAAAGCAAAACCCGCTGCGGTACGCAGCAGGACGAATCGGGGCCAGCGCCAAACGAAGACCCACGTCTCAGAAGACGTCTTTTGACTTGTCGAAGGTGTCGAGGGGAGGTCCTTCGAGCAGCTCTCCTGCAGCTGTCCACGAGGGGCGGAGAAGAGCCGCACACTCAGTCGAGCGACCCTATCATTGAACGGATGGATGCAGTCTCCGAAGATGATCCACCTTCGGATCTGGTAATATGTCAACGGAAGATGCACCCATCCAGCGAACAAATGACCTGCGCAAGCGGGATCATTCAGCTTCCCCCAATGACCCCATCCCAACCACCCAAAATCCCTCAGACCAGGCCCCTCCATCCCCTACCCCAAAGTTTTTAGACCTACCAACCAACTACCTCCTAAAGGCATCCCCCTCAGCAACTCCTCCTCCTCCTCTACCTCAGATAACCAAACCACTACTTCAAACCCAAGCACTTCCTCTGCCCAAATACTGACGACTGACAATACCACCACCTCCCAAAATAGAACAACGACCCAAACTACCGGAACCAGGCCAAAAATTGGACAATTTCAAGTTGACCTGGAATCACTGCTATGCCCAAACGAACTGACAAAGGACTTACTGCACTACTGCAACGGACAAGTGATGCAGTACCAGCAAATGCACCAGGACAGAACTGCTAATTACACCATAGACTTACTGCACACAACAGAATTAGAGACAGACTCGACGCTATCAGAACCACGGACCTAAGACAACTATTTTTCCGACATATTGCGTACCACTTCAACAGAGCAATGGACGAGACTAGAGATAAACTAGTCATCAAAGGACTCCCACCAATTCTGCCAACAGAAACAATCAAAGACAATCTGACTGCCCACCAACTTTCTGTATTCCATGTTGCCGAGATGCAGAAACGCGACGCTGACAGACAACTGACTCCACTGGGAATCTACACTTTAGAGATTCCACGACGAGACATTACTAAAACTAAACAGACTTAAGTACATAAGAAATTACAGCATTAAGCTGGAGCACTACAAACTGACTGACAGAGTACCACAATGTAAGAACTGCCAGAAACTTTACCACATCAGGACTTACTGCAGACGACCAACCACCTGTGCCCTCTGCTCTGGAAACCACACCACAGACAAATGCCCTTACGCCCAGACAGACAACTTCACCCCGACTTGCTGCAACTGTAAACTTAACCGCCCTGCTTTCGACCCCATCTGCCAGTATATCGCCAACGCCCGTACCCTCCGAAACACAACTACAAAAATCCACCCAACACCAGCACCACCCCCTAATGTACAATCCACCACCTCCTTCCCTCACCTCCACCCACAAACCCACTCCTACTCTTCAGTAACCTCCAACGTATCTTCCAACACACAATCACCAAACACCCAACCAACCCCAGCAACCTCCTCTCAAGATCTCACTGAACTACTGAACCTAATCAAATCATGAGACCTAAAGAAAATCCTCTCACCACTCATCCCAATCATCACTATCCTCAAAGGCCCAGGAGACATCCTTTCCAAATTGATCCAAGCAGCCATACAATTAGTCGAAATCTTCAACTAAATGGATAAATCCCCGTTTCCTCACCCTCTCATCCTGGAACACACGAGGTGGATTAAATTCCAAAAAAAAAAACCTTACCCAATTTTCGAAAGATTACTCCATCGGGATCTTATGTGTATCCAAGAATCATGGCTCCAACCACCTATACCATTCTCCATTCCTAATTACACAGTTCACCGCACTGACCACCTCACCTTCACCAACGGTGGCACGGCTATCCTTATCCGCAACCATATCCATCCCCCAAACCAGCTCGCTCCCACCCTCTTCTCACTCTATGCTAGCGACATTCCACCAACAAACAGTGTCAAAGCATTCCTCTACGCTGATGACTTCCTTGCGTCCTACTGAGCCCTCAAGTACTCCCTTACCCAACTCCAAAAAGCACTAGACACCCTCCACTCCTGGGCCCAAGCCAACAACATCACCCTAAACCCATCAAAATTCCAAGCAGTAGTATTTTCAAAGCGCAGAAAACCAACCCTTCCTCCCTCTCTTCTTATCAATCAACTTCTTCCTTGGCAAAACAAAATTAAATATTTAGGTTTTCACTTTTCCCAACGACTCCCGTGGACTTCACATATTCAGGAAACCACGACCAAAACTCTCAGAATAATCAACCCACTCCTCCCTCTCCTCTCACATCACTTGCTTCCCACTAAACGAAAACTGTCCCTATACTACTCTTACATCCACCCCATCATTACTTACGCCCACCCGACCTGGTCATGCACTTCTTACACCAACTACCTTCAACTCACCAGACTAGAAAACAGAATCATCAAACTTATTTTTAGACCTCCTTTCTGCAACCGACTGAACGACATTCCCCACATATCCACACGTCTGCACAAAATAGCATTCTTAACTTCCTTTCTGATCCCTCATTCAACTACCTACTCACATCCCATCTGCCTGTAATCACAAATCCACTGAGACATAGAACTAAGAAGCACCCCCTCGACATTCTTCAACTTCCACCACCTTCCACTTAATTGTAGAGGGCACTAAATGACATAGACATTACTTCCAAACAAAGGACTAGAGTACCGCCAAATAATACCCTAATATTCAAAACCAAAACCCTTTTCCTTTCCACACTTTTCTTTCTCTCCACTTCTTATCTTTCCCTTTTCTTCTCTTTCCGTCCTCCACCCTCTACCTTAACAAAATAACCCATCACACTCCCTAATAAAATAAACCCGTCTTTTATCAACCCACACTGCTACCCAATTCCCGTCTTGTATTGGAGAGAGGTGCAAAACAGCCACAAAAGAAAACAAAGAATAAAACAGAGAGAAGAGCCCCAACTGGGGTAGGCATTATGTGGCAAAAACACTGCCTTCTCTCTGCACTGATGTGACTCTGCATCAGTGGGTGATACATCGGTGGGTGGGGTATCACATGATAAACTCCTGGATTTAGAACAGATACCAATATAAATGGCTACCAATTTTGGAGTTAGAATCAAGAGGAATTGATTAGAAGTCTGGTCAAATTGTTGTATTTTGAATTTTTTGATAAATTAACGTTTTTTGGGGACTAAACATGCCGAAGAATACATTAAATCATTTTCTTTCCAAAAATGGAGTTAGAACTCTTAAGAACTGGAGTGACGAATCATCTTTTAATTCTTTCCTAGTTTGATAATTAAGGCATTGTAATCTTACCACTTGTGGGTTATCAGAATTTATTTTGGCAAACTCAATAATGATATCATTTTACATGCTATGCAATGGGACACTTTCACCATAAATTATCAATAGGGGCCATATTACCTATTACAGCAGCTTTTATTCATTGATATTCCCTATTCATGTAAACAATTAATAGTAATCAGAAAATAATTAAAAATAAAATTTATATTGGAGGAAAAGTTGTTGTTTTCTTTTTTTTCTTTTCTTTTGCTTTCAAAATATTCCCCCAGACCCTTTCTTGTACTTAATGATTGTTTTAGCATTATTAAGGTTCATCTATCTCCTAGTTGGGATCATTACACACATCCTTATTATATACAAAATAATAATCTCTATCAAGATAGAACATCAGGAATATTGAATCAAATATAAATTAACTTTGAAACATTTAAATCAGGAAAGAAAATTGTAATTTCATGCATCAAGTTGGGGATTATTGGAAATGATACTGCTGACTCCAAAGTAAAAATGGCAACTATATGTGCATGACATAGTTACCCACCAGAAGCCAAAATTGTAAAGTTTTTTATCTCTAAATATCAATATGGTACATGATATTCAGAAGCTTGTAAATGATAAACTGACTCTTCAAGTGCCTCTAAAGAATGAATTGTATTGATGATCAGATTAGGCCAAGCACAACTAACAAATACATTATAGGCAAAATCCCACAACTCTTATCTGTATCTTGTAACAAGTTTCTCTGTGCACCTAATTTTTTTGTGATGGTTTGAAATACAGCCAAAAGAAACTAGTTTACCTAGGAGATGATGATTTCATGAATATCCTATTGTTATCAAGATTTCAAGAGAAGTACATTCAGTTGGGTCAAAAAATTAATAATTTGTATAATTTTTATATTTTAAATGAAGGTATCTTGATTTTACAATTTAATACATTGTTTTCTGCAAAGAGAATTAAAACTTGATGAACAAATTGTGCAAAAATTATAATGTAATGGATAATGTAAGTATTACACATATTAATTTAATGGTAATTGGTTGGCAGAGACACAAAGTTGCTCCCCTTATCCCACACTATAGATAGACAGAATGCATTTCTCAATGAAACAGAAATGACTTATAGAGCTTAATTTGAAGTAGAAGTAAATACATTTTTTATTTCTTTTGAAATTAAAAAAAATTCAGGGACCAAATGAAGTGGAAATGTGGGGCAATTTGTTGTCGGAAGAGCTTCTGGGTATCTTTGTTAATGGAAAAGCTCTTAAATTGTAAAATGTAAGTATTCAATGTGTTATGAATGGTATATCTAGGACCATGTAATCAAAATGGCCTTAATAGTCAGAAGCTAATTACCATGTTATTAAATGAATAATCACTTGTCAAAAAAATTCTTAAATCATAAATAGATCATAAGAATGATTCCATACTCATCCCATTGCAAAAACATGTATATCAACTGTTACCTTTTTTAATCTCTTTAGTCATGTGGAGTAACTAGTGTACCTGTGGAAGAACTTTCGCATGTTAATCCCCACCCTTTTCTTATTGTGTCTATTAGTTGTGGGTTTTCCCAAACAAGGTATCTCCCACCAGCTGGGCACCACCACACATGACTGGTCTTCTAACATGTAAGTAGTGTAGTGCATACAAGTGTGTATGTTAGTAATGGGTGAGGATTGGTTAAGAAAGAGGAGGGAAAGTTTGTATTCGGCCCGTTTGGTACGGTACTGCTCTGGCGTTTGCCTGGTATTGATTGGAAAACTGACCAGTGCAGCCTTCTAGAATTCTTGAGACCCCCTCCTAATTGTTTGAAACAAAAAAACATAATTAAACCCCCCATTAAATCATTAATACAATATAGAAGCATTAAAAGTATCTAAAAAAGTCAATTTCAATATATATAAAACAAGCTCCAAATTTAAGTATTTTTTTCCAGTCTGATACATGCAATAGAAGCTGAGAAAAAAAATTGTGGTGGTGGGGGAAATCTACCACTTTTGTTTTATTCTTTCACGCGATTATCGATTTGATAGGGTGGCAATTTTCATCCCTTTATTTGGCTATACCTTTTTCTCTGTCTCTCGAATGTAAATTATTTCTACTGCGCCGTCTCCCTAAGGGCGGTCCTCGAACCTCAAAGTGAACCAGTAAATTTCACTGGAGACAACACCTAATGCTTTGGAAACGACGTTAAGAGTACGTCACCATATTGCCGAGCGTTTCGGTCTCTCTGGCAC